CGAGAGGGGTGAGTCAATCTTCGATTTTATCCTAGGCTCTAATCTTTTGGTGGGTAACAGGGGTACAGAACCCACTTTCATAGTCAAGAACAGAAGAGAAGTACTTGACGTCACTCTTTACTCTGAATCCCTAGCAGACAGGATTGTTAGATGGGGAGTCCTAGAGAAACACTCATTCTCAGACCACCGATACATAGAATTAGTGGTCAATTTCGAGAACTTTAATCGACTAACGGTACGCAACCCGAGGAAAGCGAACTGGGAGTTATATAGAAAGAAGCTAGATAGTTCCTTGGGAAATCCTCCAACAGGGAATGTGGATAGTAGGGCAGCCCTGGATTCCATGGTGGATACGCTCACGGCAGCGTGCGCCAGGGCATTCAATAAAGCTTGTCCCAAAATCAGATCGGGCAAAAGCAAGTCAAAGAAACCACCTTGGTGGTCGCAAACACTTGCGCCTTTTAAAACCAAGGCCCGCAAGGCCTTCAATTTTGCCAGAAAAACAAACTCGGAGGCAGCCTGGGAGTCGTACAAAGCGGACCTTAGGCGATATAATAAAGAGCTTCGCAAGGCAAAAAGAAATGCCTGGGCCGAGTTCTGCACGAACATTCAGGAAACATCAGAGGCCTCTCGACTCAGGAAGGTCCTTGCAACTACTGCACCAAATGTAGGATACATTAAAACCTCAGAGGGCAACTGGACATCGTCCAGCAAAGAAACCCTTGAGGCTCTCATAGAGACACATTTCCCGGGATGCTCTCGAGAAGACGCAACCCTGGAAATACAGACACAGGGGAATAGCCCACCCACCAACAATCCACTTGAATACCTATTGAATGATAGATATCTCAGCTGGGCAATAAATAGCTTCAAGCCCTTCAAATCCCCGGGTCCAGATGGCATTGTACCGGCTCAACTAATTAAAGCCGGTCCCAACCTGAAATCATGGGTCAAGACAGCTTTCTCAGCAATCTTCAGGATGGGCATTGTACCCCAAAGGTGGTTGCGGACGAAAGTCGTATTTATACCCAAGGCGGGAAAACCATCTCACTGCACCCCCAAGGACTTCAGACCAATAAGCCTGTCGTCCTTCCTTCTGAAGACAATGGAGAGACTAATCAGCCTCCATATCAATCTTACTATAAACCCAGAGGATATCTCGGGATCACAACATGCGTATAGGAAGGGCCGATCCACGGAAACGGCACTCCACGAAATCACTACTTTTGTCGAGAAGGCACTTAGTGACAAGGAATACGCACTCATTGCTTTTCTAGACATAGAAGGTGCGTTCAACAACATCCTACCAAGCTCGATAACCAATGCGCTGACAGGACTAGGAATAGATAACCAATCCGTACGCCTTATTAAGCAGATCCTGGTAAACAGGACTGTTGAGGCGTCACTAGGAGGAGAATCTATTCATAGATACGTCAGAAGAGGCACCCCGCAAGGAGGCGTACTCTCACCCCTGCTCTGGAACGTGGCGGTTAATAGCCTACTGCGATCCCTTGAAGGGGGTGGTTGCAAAGTTATCGCTTACGCGGATGATGTCGCAATTGCCTTCTCAGGAAAATTTCCCCAGACTCTATGTGACCGCATGACGGATAAACTTAGGGTCCTCTCAACATGGGCAGCTAGAAATGGACTAGGTGTGAACCCATCCAAAACAGAGCTCGTCCTCTTCACCAGGAAGTACAAAATACCAAACTTAAGGCTTCCAAAACTATTAGGAGAAACACTATCTCTTAGCGATAGCGCCAAGTACCTAGGGATTACGCTAGACAGGAAACTGGACTGGAAATTAAACACCATGGATAGAGCCAACAAAGCTGCAATCGCGCTCTATACTTGCAGAAAAGCCATTGGTCTTAAATGGGGAATGTCACCAAAAATAGTAAGATGGCTTTATACAGCGGTCATAAGACCCATCCTCTTCTACGGGGTGGTGGTATGGTGGCCCGCTCTCACCAACTCCACAATCAGGGAGAAGCTTAGGAAAACGCAAAGGATGGCGGAAGTCTGTATCACGGGCAGCCTACGTACCACTCCTACGGACGCACTAGACTTCATACTCGACCTCTTACCAGTAGAGATAATGGGAGTCAAGATGGCCACGCTATCGGCAATCAGGCTACGAGAGACGGGCGCATGGAAAAGGACTGACTACGGACATACCAAGTTAGATCTACACCACTGCACGCCAACGGGGTCTACGGACTACTGCGTACCTGTCGATAATCCCACCTTAAAATACAAGGTCTACATTCCAACAAGGGAGGAATGGGACACACAAATCCCGGGACCAGCCGGTTCCCTCCATATTTACACAGACGGCTCAAAATTGAATGGCCAGGTGGGAGGCGGTTTCCATTGCGAACATCTGTGTTTAAATGAGTCCTTCAGACTCCCAGACCACTGTAGTGTTTTCCAGGCAGAAATAATAGCTATCGGAGAAGCACTCAAATCCCCAGCACTTATTGGTAATCAGGACACAATCTGTATCTTCTCAGACAGTCAAGCGGCACTCAAAGCCCTTGACGGTCTTTCATCCAACTCCAGGACAGTGAATGACTGTCGCAGATCTCTTAACGAGATGGCAGAGCAGCATGACATACACCTCATATGGGTGCCCGGGCATAGGGACCACGAGGGTAACTGCGCCGCCGACGAACTAGCAAGAGCAGGTACTACCAATCCTCTCCTACCGGAGAAGGAACCAGTAGGTATCCCCTTAGCTACGTGTAGGCTAAAATGCAGAGATCACTTTGACCGCGCAGCACTGCGGAAATGGAGAAACCTCCAAAACTGCAGGAACTCCCGCATGATATGGCCAATCCGATCTAGGAAGAGGTCAATGATGCTCATCGCCCTGAATAGGCAGGACTGTAGTCTGGCGATCAAGGCCATTACGGGACATTGGTTAATAGGAGCACACGCGGCTAGACTAGCGGTGCCTCATTATGACTACTGCAGAAGCTGTGGAGACGAAGAAGAGGAAGAGACAGTCGCACACCTCCTGTGTCAATGCCCTGCGCTGGGGCGCATTCGACTCAAATTCCTGGGCGCAGCAATACTTACAGACCCTACAGACCTCGCGGAGGTCGCTCCACACAGACTCGTAGCCTTCATCCGTAAAGCCGGATGGGACCGCGAGCCGCTTCAAGAAGGATAGAGCACCCTTGGGCACATAAGTAGTGGGAAGGGAGAGGTCCTTTTGTAGGATCCTTGCCTGTGCGGTATCACAAGGAGCCCTAGCGGCTCAAGTGGATGGGGATCAGAAACCGGCCCTCATCGCCGCCACAACCTAACCTAACCTGGCTACCCGAAAATTGGATGAGAAGGGGCCCAGCCATTTTTGGGAAAAACAGCAGTTTTAGGTTCAGAGGGGAAAAATGGTGTTGTATAACAAAGATGAGACCTTCGAACAAAGACCGGCGAAGACCTTTTGCATTTCAATTAAAAATGATTAAAGATACACAAGAAAAAGGTTAAAAGGCGCGCATGCAGCAAAAAATTTGTTGCGGCCAAATAACTTTCAAGGGGAAAGAAAAACAACCCGGAAAAGCCAGGAGGAAAACTGTCATATACAAACACTTGAACAAGCAAACAATCGTTAAGATTCGCTCCGGTTGTATATAGTTTATTTTATGATTGGTACGATTTTATACATTTTTCTTAGTCAGTTTTTATGAGACCATATTTTATGCAAACGTAGGTTGGAGTTTTTCAGTTTTTCAGAAAAGCGGGACCTGCAACAATGGAAACTGTTTCTGCTGAAAAGCGGATACATTTTCACAAAATTCTAAAAGGGGAAACTTGAAACTTCAGTGCAGCAGACAGCTAAAGGACAAGGAAGGAATCGAAGGAAATGCAAGTGCATTGGGTTTTCTTTTTTTTTTTCCTTTAGCACAATTGGAAAATGCGCTGAAGAACTAAGGGTGGGGGGGTTCTGGTTGGAAAAGCGACACGGTGTCTGCTCTTCAACGCATGCTATTTGCTCTTTACATCCTTTTAGCCATTTTCGGTGCCTTTCAACGATTCTTTTATGATTTCCTTAAAAAAAACACAGGAAAAAATAGTTGAAGATAACAGTTTGAAAAGGAAAACTTGTAGATCTCTTCCTATATCAACCAGCTATAAAATATGCCATTTATTTTATGAAGCTATAGGGCTTACGTTCTAGAATCTAGATATAACTAAACTGAAAAGTTTTTTTTTTCACTGCAAACAAACACCAACAGATACAAGTACACATCCACATTACGAAACGCAAACACCGCCAGCGGAAAATTCTGAAATTTCGATTGGACAACGTATGTCTCTTTTTCTTTATTTTTTTTTTTTTTTAGCCTTGGGCTAATGTGTTTTTCACTCTGAGCTTTCGTTTAATGAATTTTAAATTTGGATACTGGTACTCCAAATGGAAATTAAATAAAATAATCATTTTGCCGGGCATAACTATTTGCAAATTCAATGCCAACGAAAAACAAGACAAACAAGAGAAGAGATTTCCTTGGTTCTCGAGCTCGTCCTGTGTCTGACAGCTAATTGAGCTCAGCCTGCTCCTTACGGGCTATTTTACGGCCCCAAGGAACTTGCACAAAAGCCGTAAGCACAGACACCGGCACACATACACAAAAGCACACCTGAGCCTTAAACTGAAACTCAAATCGGGTCCAAAGTCCTGGCCTGTCCGCCCACTCTCGTAAGACAATTATGAAATGCGTTTTTTATAGTCCTATTATTGCCCAGGTCCTTCTCTGGGAAGCCGCTGGCGACAAAGGACGGAAGCCAGGCAGGGACAATCAGGCTTTGTTATATGGCCAAGATCGCTTTGTCTTGGCCTGCCGTTGATTAAAAATATACGTACATACTGCTTGTATAACAATGTCCTTTTAGCTTCAAGGGAAAACTGATTTACCTGTAATTAAATTACACTTTACTTTTTTAAACAAAAAAAACGATTAGTTTGTTAATTTTATTAAGGTGGAATTTACGACAAGAACCACATGATAAGAATATTCAAGTTATTATCAAAAGTTTCAAACGAAGATAAGTTCGCAACAATCGGCATTTCTTATTTTAGATAGCTGTAATAAATAAAATTAATAATAATACATAATAAATTTAAAATTTAATTAATTACCTGACGCATTTTATCCACATCTTCGCAATTTCTAATGATCAATGTCAATGGATCTTTAGAGCTCATACCATTTTCCTGCAGAATATCGAAAAAGGCCATCCAAAATTCGCGAACATACGTCTGAATCCCATTGCCCAGGGTTAATGATCGAAGTTTTTTGCAATGCCTGAGCATATGAAGTGAAAAATGATCCTCTTCCAACCCGAATAGTCGTAGGGCCTTCAAAGTCGAGGCGTGCATTGATATCCAGTCGTAAACGCTGTCCGATACCACAGTTAAGGGACCCGAGGTAATGGTTATTTCACGCACATTTTCAAAAAGGGGCAATTCCAAATCGAACACTTCACGTTTTCCAAAGTAAATGCTCAGATCTTCCACCGATTTCGCGTTCTGTGCAACCCAATCGTAATGCTCTGCAAGTGTATAATAGTCCAGACATAATGATTTTAAATGCGGGCAATTAGGAAATGGGAAAAAGATCTCCTCGACATGGAATGGCTCCGCAACCGATCCAGGAATAGGAAGTATTTTATGTACAGATTCTTGGCGCAATAAATTTTCACTTGTAAAGTAAGATTTCCATGTGTTCATTTGATCCTTGATCCATTGTAAAATGCCATCTTCGGTAATGTATGTTTTATACAAACGTAGAAATTGTAGGTTTGGACAATCCGGAAATCCTGGCCGCATGTCACAAAAATCTATTTCTATGCACTCCAAAAATTTAAATACCGCTTGGTTGGTAAGAATTATAGTAAAAATATTTAGGTTTTTGCACTTCAAATATTTCAGCTTCTTGGACAGTTCGTTTGTTTCTATGTTCATACGATTGTATGGATCAATAGTTAGTTCTTCCAAATTCTCCAATTGATGTAATTTAGCTTTGAGGAAAATATAATTTTTAAATAAAATACATTTTCAAAATATCGATTTAATAACTTACAGCTTCGTATATTTCTTCCATAACCTTTAACGAAAAAATTGTTTTTATTCTATTTTGTTTTAAAACAAGAAATACTTACGAAGTTTTAATATTTTTAAATTTTTAAGAGCTTTTAGATTTTCCAGCATATCAAACGGATCGCTATCCAAAAAAATATGTATTGATTGAAGATTTTGTAATTCCTTTAAAATGTTATTGAACCACATAACACTTAAATTGTTTTCCAAGCTAATTTGAATAGAATTTAGATTGGGACAATTTTGAGCCAAAAGAGTTAGTAATTCAAGTGTTGGCTCATAGAACGTTATTTCATTTATAATAGGGCCCAACATCGGCAAGATACTGGTTAGATATAAGCCCACTTCGGAATTTTTATCAGATACGCGTGAGTATAATTGCTTTCCATGGTAGAAGAATACATTTAATAATTCTTCGTTGGAGTTGGCCAAATTGATTTTGTCCTTTATTGGTAATTTTTCAAATATTGAATCCAAAATATTCAACGGCAAATCAGTAATACACATTGAAGACATTTTTTTCGAAAATCCAAAGCAGATACCGAGTTACCGAATGTTGTGAAATCTGGGAATTCAGTGAAGAATAGTTTCTGACGGAAAACGCGTTTGATACTAAGGTTTCTTTATGAACACTTTCATATATTTGACAAAAATATTTTTCAATTTCTGAAAGTCAAAATTATTAGCTAGTTTAAACCGATAGATCGAATTGATTATCGATAGGTGGCGCGCGGGAACGGCCACATTAAAATTCAAAAAACCAAATAAACATTTCGCAGCACTTTTTTGATAGACATTAGGCAACACTTAACCCTCTTAGCCGGCATTCCTGTTGTTTGGCCAAAAATCATGCAAAGCGATTCGGAGGAACAGACTTTCCAACTCCAGGCTCTGGAAATACGCGAGCCTGACGCCAACTTTGATCCCAGCAAGCCTCCGGAAACCGGCGAGGAGTACCTGACCCACATGTTGTACGAAAGAAAGCGCTGTCCGGCGGTAGTGACCAAGCGCTCGTCAAACATAAGTGACCAGGCATCTGTCAGCAGCCTGGATATGCTGGAGAACGTGAGTAAGAAAGTTCACAACGTGGTATGTCAATAATCTTGCTCGGTTTCAGCCTGACTTGCCACCCTTCAAAGATCTGCTGCCGACACCGGAGTGGCGCGATGTCCAGGTGAATTGCTTCCAAGCAGCCCGCTCTAAAGTACTGGTCATTCGCATGGAGTTGTCCAACCAAAAGTACGACCAGTCGGCTGAACCACCTCTTACCTCGGACAACGACAAGTGGAAGGAGTTCTGCCGCCAAAACGAACCACTGTTGAGCACTCTGCTTCATCTGACTCAAAATGATCTGGAGCACTTGCTGGAAATGCTAAGCAAGTGGCTGCAGGAACCATCGCCGCCGGTGGATCTCTTGCAAGATGCCTGGCTAGCGCGCTGGCTGTATGCCACCCTCGTCTGCCTCCACCTGCCATTGGAGCCGTATGTGTTCAGCACTATTCGCTACATAGCTCGGTCCTGCATTCATTTGCGCAACCAACTCAAGGAAGAGGAGGTGCTACGAGCTGCGCCCTACAACCTCCTGTTAACCCTGATAGTTAATGTCTTTGGCCAGAACGATTTTAAGGAATATATTTAAGTGAGAGTTTACTTGAAGAATAAAACAAAAACGGACTAATGGTTGCTAAATGAATAAGCCAAGACGCTATATATAGCCTTAATCTCATAGATTCTACGTTTTCGATTATCATATACCATGAATAAATTTTTTAGTTTTGTAAAGAGAACAAAAAAGCACTAAATTTAATTTGATATCATAAAGGAAAGGTACTTAAAATAAGAAACTTTTAATACAAATTTTATAAATCTTTAAATTTTCATAACATTTAACAATATGTATATATTTTTGGACCTTGTACTCCCATAAGGGAAAGTAACCTTTACATACTTATTATTTTATTTTTCAAGAAACAATTTAATTAATAATCAGGAAACATGCGTCTGTAAGTTTGGCAGATGTCGCAGCTGCTCTGGTGCTCATCGACCACTTCGCTGCAGCTCGACAGGTGGCTGCACTGCGTCAGCGAGGAGCTCTGGCTGACACTACTCATTTGAGTGCTTCCCGAACAAGTGGAAAGGCGTCGATGTGGAGGCTTTGCCTGATCAGGAGGCGCAGGATACTTCCAATTGGGACAACAGTTGGACTTCCGTCCATGGCACACGGTCTGCTGCTTTCGCGGCTGCTCCATTTGACCCAAACACCTACTTTCCACATGGCGATTGGCGATTGGGACAGCAGTCTCATCCCGGAAACTGGAGCACCTGCAGCCTTTTCTGCGATCCTGCGTGGTGAGCTGGGCAGAGAGCTCCACCTTGGGCGCCAAGATGCCCGGAAAGGCAGGAGTGGCCTTCATCAACAGCTGGACATTGGAGCTGTGGGGGCAACTTAGGCGGGGCACTGTCGGATGCATTACATCCGAGAGATTGCCAACAAAGTAAGCCAGTCGTCTCCCATTTTGCCAGAGTGTTATCTCAAGCTGCTCAGACCTCAGAAGGTCGTGCAACTCCTCCAGGCAGCCGACACTCTTAAAATATCCCTCCATGGTGAACTGATCGTGACAAAGCATTGGGAACCGTGGCTCCATGGCTCCAGTCCGGAAATAGTATCCCAATGTTTTGATGGTGGCCTCCAAGTATCCGTGGGAGCAAAGCCAAACGCCCGGGCAGGTAAGCTGAAGATAAGAAGTTAAAAATTTTAAATGAAGGGATGAGTATGCGAAGTTCCCTACAAACCGCATGGAGCTGCAAATTTAGCCTCACATAGAACCTTTTGTGAGACATCATTTAGGAGAACTTTTTCTAGACTCCCATAAATAACTTGGCTTGTTGGGGCTTTTTGTTCGTTGTTTTGGAGCCAACCGTTGCCTGGGCAGCCATTCAAACGCGACCTTTTATGGCGCCATTTAGAATATCAATTATTTTCTTGTACAACAGTCTAGCTCCTTTAGGTGGATTCAAGCAGATTTTTAATTTTAAGATATTTAATCAATTTCTTAACATTTAAGTTAAAAATGCCCCCATTTTAAAAGATTGAATCAAGCAAATATTCAAATAACCGCCAAATGGGTATTATTCAACACTTCTTTGAGAAACATTAGCCAACACTGACCCTCTAGACCGGCATTTCCACGTCAGGTTTATTATTGTTTTCGAATTAAGATTCTTGAAGCTTGGAGATGCATCTCGAGAGCTTGGTGATACTACTTCTACCCCTGCTCCAGCTCATCGCTGGAGATTCGCCAGAGGAGGAGCAAGGCGTTCGCTATGCCAACCGCTGCGAAGCCTGCAAAATTCTGGCAGCCGAATTGGAAGGTCGCCTTGGGGAAACCGGGAAATCGCACGATGTTATTGAGACTGGCTACTCCGTGGACGATGTGCGGCCCAAGAAACGCACCGAGTACCGCAGGAGTGAGCTACGCCTGTTGGAGTCCCTGGAGAACGTGTGCGAACGGGTTCTGGAGTACAATCTCCACAAGGAACGGACGGATAGCACGAGATTCGCCAAAGGAATGTCGCAGACCTTCCAAACGCTCCATGGCCTAGTGGACAAGGGCGTGAAAGTCGACCTGGGCATTCCCTACGAGCTGTGGGACAAGCCACCCGTCGAGGTTACCCAAATGAAGACCCAGTGCGAGAATATGCTGGAGGAGTATGAGGACACCATCAGCGATTGGTACTTCAAGCTGCAGGACAAGAAGTCCTTGCAGAAACATCTCTGTGAGGACCATGTCCTTAGGCTAAAAGCGGAAAGAGAATGCCTCAAGGAGCAACTGCCACCACCACCGGCCAAGAAACCTAAGAAAGATAAGCTCAAGGGCGACAAGGAGGAGCTGTGAAGCCAACTAAGATTATCCAAAAAGTAGAAAACTCATTTCCAAATTAAGGTCTCATTTTTTTAGAACAAAGCTTAAAGTTTTAACTAGTTTAAGTATACTCACTCTGTCTCCCGATTGTAAGCCTTCCACCTCGTCTGAGCCCCGAAATGTTACTGAAAGTTCTGTGGTGGCTTATTGATTTGGCCACGAATTGGGGTCGACAATTAAAAGTTCACTGCCCGAACGAAATGAGGTGGTGGGACATTACCTCCAACCTTTCCAGCCACAAGCGTCAGATAGTTACCTTAGTATTTACACAGAATGGAGATTATATAGCATTTTTGGGCAGCCCTGGCTTGAAATCAATGTTTTCCTTTTATGAAAGTAATACAATTTAATATTTTTGTGGTCTGTTTATAATAAATACGTTTCGTATATTTAAAAGTAAAAAATATTATAATCGTAAATGGATTATCCATCATTGAGTTTTCGTTTTGGAATCACTACTACAGGGTATCTATCGTGTTTGAGTTTCCCAACCAAACGTTGGCTAGTTTTAAAAAATTTATTGAACTGATTGGAGATGGTTGGTGGGGAAAACCCCGGCGAGCTTATAGCTTCATCACATCCCAGGGATCGTCCATGTAGTGCAGTATGGCTTTCTTGTGCAGCTTCTCACTGAAAACCTCTTGCAGCAGTCGCAGCACCCGATCCTCGATAAAGGCCACCTGATCCTGGGGGCAATAATCATCCTGAGCCGAATGGGCCATCGTTATGGCCACGGGTGGAACTGGCAGTCGTTCGAGAAATCTTTTGAAATTCGCAAAGTACGCCTCCAGCTCCTCGGCGGTGCTGATGTGATTGGGCAGTCCATTGTTGTCGGTGGTGCTGCCCGAATCGAAGATCAAATGCCAGTCGATCTCATCGTCGGGATACTTTTCCTGCAGCGTTTCGGCCAGGCGGACAATCTTGGCGTAGATCTCGGGGGTAATCACGGCCTCGTCGGGCTTTTCCAGTCCATCAAAGTTTCGCTGGTCTTCAAGGTGCCAGAAAATTCGCTTCAGTGCATCCAGTTGGGTTTGCCTTCGGTCCGCCGTGGCCAAGTAGTCCTCGATTGAGGCAGTTCCTGCTTTCTTGACCACCTCCACGCTCTCGAAGTGGAAAATCTCCTTCAGCTGATTGTAACAATCGGCATCTTTGTAGATCTCCAGGAACGGGTTGGAGGTGCTGAAGAAATCCAAATCGATGTCCAGCACAAAGCCCTTGGCGTCCGTTTCCGTAAGGAAGTCCTTGGGATCGAGATTTTCGTTGTCGGCATCGTGAACCTGCAGCTCCACGCTCTTGGGCTCCTGGAGGTCCTCGGTGGTGCAATAGTTGCCATCAGCTATGAAGTAGTCCAGCGGGCAATCCACGCCGATTCGGTCCTCTTTGTGGCCAACTTTAAAGTCGTGGCGTCCAGTTGGCAGCTGCTGGCACCACGAGTTCTTCAGCCACACGACGCGACTGAAGTGGCCTAGAAAAATAACGAAAAATATTAATATTGTGACTTCTGGAAAGGTAGTTCTAGGCCTCTAAGTCTACCTGCATAGAGGGTCGGCATGATCCAGTTCTCGATGCTCAGCTCGTTGAGCATGGCGTCCTTGTCGTAGGCCGAACTGGCGGGTATGTGCCTGGGTATGACCATATCCGGATGAGAATCAAAGTGCACCAGGGTGTTGCCCTCCAGTGGTAGATGTCTGGTTCCCAGGCAACGATAGATGAACTCCAAGACGTCGTTGTGATAGTCCACAATGAAGACGGGAATGCGCCTGAAGGCACGCAGACTGTTTTGAGTGCTCTGCACCCGCTCCATGGGTACTAATTGGGGGACACCATCCTCGTCCAAGCCTTCGGAGTCCTCATCGTCGTCGTCCTCATCTTCGCTCTCCTCATCCTCCAGATGCTCCTCGTCATTGTCGTCCTCTTCCTCCTGCTCAATGGCTGCCTCTACAGTCTTTTGTCTCTTTGTTGGCGGGGCCCCAACCTCCGTCTCCCCCTTCGACCCAACCACCCCACCACCCACCTTTGCCGCACTTTCGGGACTTTCACCTTGCGTTAACTTTTTCAAAGCTGCCGCCGCACTCTCCTTGTCCAGCGCATCCGATTCCATGGGCTTTCGGGTTTTCTGTTAACAGCACTGGGAAGTTTCGAGTACGTCTTTTCTATTTCTTGCTCAGTAAGCAGACTTAATTTCTTTTGTATTTAATTTTTGGGAAGTCTTTGACCTTATCAGCTGTTTAATGGCGGCACATTCCAACACTCTCACTGTGTCCAGTGTTTATCAACCAAGAAGACATTCTTTCGATTATTTTTGCAACACTGATAAAATTATTTATCGAATAACGAGAAACCGTTAGGTTTTTAAATACAAAAGCTAATTACTGTGAAACCGCGATACTCTTATGATGAAAAAATTAATTAAAATTAAATATTTTTATGGTTAGTTGAACAAACTTTTTTGAATTTAAAAAGTACCTTCATATTTTCAAAAACCCGTAAATAAATAAATTTTTTTTTTTTAAGTTCTTACCCTAATAAGTTCTATATATTTCCCAATATTCTACTTAGCTATTAAATACAGTTTTAATGGAAAGAAATATTAGTCTAACTTTATTTTATCGACTCAGTCTTATAATTAGTCTAATTCAACAAAGCTAAAAGTTAAAATCAGGCTATTCCTGAACTAAAAATATAAAAAAATCAACCTAAATCTTAAAATATATCGAACCAAAGTAATATATCTATACTTTTAAACTTCAAATAAATAAAAATATTAAAAATAAGAGGTAAGATTCGCTCTGTGAATGGCAATTCATTAATTAAACAACACTTTATTACACTCTGCCCACACGCGAAACACTTTACAATCCGCAATCCGTACTTATGTATGTATGCGCCCCCTACCCTCCCAAAAGCCGCCCACATTTCAAGGTTGCTTCACATTTGGAGACTTGCCATCGAATCAATATTCCGTGTGTATCTGTATCTGAATCAGAATCTGAAGCTGAAGCTGGGGCTGAATCTCTTGGCTCCCAGCTCTCGACCGTTTGGCGTAATGCGATTGCTGTTGAGGGGGTCCAAGGGGGAGTGGGCCGAAACGTAAGCTTTCAGCCCGCCCAAGCTTTTGGCGCTCCGCCCACGCGTGCCCGTAAAAAAGCTTTTCATTCATAAGTTGTTATTTTATTTATTCAGCTTTAGTTGTTGTATTTTTTTTTGCTTTTTTTTTTTGCCTCTTACTGGACGCCCACACGGCTGATTGGAATGCGTAAAATGCTGCCAGAGTGTACACGAGGAGTGTCTGTATCTGTGAGAGCGTGTGTATCTGCGAGCTATGTATCTGTATCTTTCCCTTTTTGCAGCTGGTGGAAATGAATGGCGGCCTGCTGGTCTGGAAAAACGCCAACAGCTCTGCCGACGCCAACGGCTCTGCTCGGACGTGGGTGTGCAATATTTCCGCCGTCGAGCGTTATCAAAAATATAACTGTATATAGACATTTGTGGGTGTCTTTATATATACATACATATATACACTTTTCTACAGCAGCACTCTTCTTTTATTTCCATTAATTTTTCTTTTTTTGGCAACTTTTCTTTTTTGCGTGGGCTGTGACACCCTGAAAAGGCGTGCCCCTAATGCCCCGCCGCCATGTTGTGGCAAATTACAGCAAGGTTGAAAAAAAAGAATGAATAATGAAAGAAATGATATATATAGGGTAGTTCTTAAGAGAACTTGTATATTAAAATATAACTGTCATTTTCTTAAATTTTTTCATTAAACTTTCCCTCTAAAAGGCCTTTCTATATCCATCGATTAATTAAAGACCCCATGCCAGACCTCATTGGAAACCCCAAACGCTAAAGGTCGAAGGGGAAATTCTCGAAGAAATCGCGCCAAAATAGCATAACGGAAGTGCCAACTTTAAGAGCATCGCCCCTTTAACTTGTCATTTGATTGAATCAATTGGCTGCAATTTCGCTCTCCATTTTTGTTCTTGTATCAATTACAGTGGTGGCTCCACGCCTTCTCTAGCTGTCTCACCCAATTCCCGCAATTAATCTGCCTCCAGCTTGACCCCAGAGGTCAAACACTGCGTCGCATTAACCTTCGTTAGCCCCTCCGCCGATTCAATTGAACCGAAGGATGGATGATGGCGAAATGAAATCCGAAGGAAGTGGCAAGCTGGCTGAAATTTCTGCGCTCGAGTGCTCTAGTTTAAAAATACCATCTCGTAAAGTCAACACCCAAAAAAGTTAAAAAAAAGGTAAATACAAACACGAAGGTTGAAAGAAAAAGTTGAAAATACAACCATTACAATAAAGAGTTTATAAATCCATTTAATAAATATATTTTTCTTCAAGATAAAACCCAAAATAATTCGTTGATAATCGTCCCCCCAAGAAACAATATTAAAATAAACCAAAAATATAAATATTTTTATGCTGATTCATTGTAATGTCATCATATTATGACTAAATAATTAGGGTTATTTATTATGGCTGGGAATTTTTTCAAAATTCTGCTCTTAAAATGGTTTTAAAATTATAAAAATTATAAATATCTAAAAATATAATCATATTATTCGCTGACTAATTCACAAAACTGCCCCCAAAATGACGTCAAAAGGATTTTGATTTTTGGGCGTAGGTGTCCTGCCAAGCACGTGGAGGAACTGGCTGCTGTTTAAGCCACCGTGAGCTGAATGGGCCAAGACTGAAATGAGTCAGTGGGAACGGGTGTACCCAAATGGCTCGAATGGCTGTACCAACCAACGTCATTCGAATTTCAATTCGCTGAATAGCCAGGCCATGCCATGCCAGACCAGATCCGACCAGGCCAGTCAGTCATTTGGCCAGGTCGCAGTTTGTTTTATTTCAATCGCAAGTTTTGTTCGCGTGGGCGGCCAAAGCCAAAAGATTGTTTCGCATCTGCCGTCGCCTCCAGATCCCCTTTTTCCATACAATCGATGACTGGAACAGTGATGGCTACAACAGCTATTTTTTGAATGCTTTTAGATCTTAAAAATCGACAAGAAAAGTTCTAAACAATTTGACTAAGTCTATATTACTCATACGCCTAGTGGGTCTGAAAAATAAAACCCCTCGATGGGTTTATTTTTTTAATCAAATAACTCTTCCTAAAAGAACAAGAATTAAATTCAGTTTGGGTTTATTATTCTTGAATTTTATGTCGAGTTTCTTGATTTTTATTAAATATTACTCACCCGCCCTGTTTCCCAAATAAATTACATAATAATTCACATTTTTTTATAAACTTGATAAATATTAAACTTTATTCTGATTGCGGTTTTTCTTAAAGGCCTTCAAAATTAAATGTAAGTTCATCATATGCCTGGTATGCCAGAAAAATCCCATCATTCATATGAACTGTTCCAAATTAATCATACGCCATGTATGACAAACAAAATGCGGGGATGATAATAATTCTTTAATTCTCTTTAAAAAGCTAAAATATAAAAGATAATTTAATTGTTTAGCTATAATTTTAGGTCATCACTTGCCTGGAACCAACGTCATCAAGATTGAAAAGTCTCCGGGAATATCTGGACGTCAAAATCGTGTCGATTCTTGAATCTCGAGACCCGTGGCGCCCACCGACTTCCGTTGCTGATCGGGTGATTCACAGAAATCTTTCGGAGCGGAACTCTGGAGGCTGGACAGCCCACTACTGTGGGCTGAGATACCATAAGTATTCACATGCATGTCGTCGGATCAGACGAAACGGAAATACGAGAGTCAGATAGTCACAAATGCCAATTCTTAATCCCATTCGAGTTGTTTTAGGTCAGTAAAGCCGATTGAGAAAACTAGTGTGGGAGAATGCGCAGATTCTGCTGAAGAACTGGATCTAAAAAATACATTAATCTTAAGATTTCGAGAAAAGTGTGTGAGGAGTCAGCCCACTCATGATATTAAACGAGAATCGATAATATATGGTGGACATTTGCCTTTCATGATGATCTCTGTGTTTTCCACCATTCCGAGAACGAAATAAATGTTTATATAGTATGTGTTATATCTAAAGACTTGAAAGGCGTCATCGTGCCAATATTGATTGGCCGTTTTCTTTGATAATCAAAGCCATTGCCTCAGTATTTCATTCAATTCTTTCAGTTTTAATGAAAGTTCACTTCTGTGGTTGATAAGACAAATATTTTCAAGTGATTCATGAGGCTATTTTTATAAAAAATATCCTCACGATGGGTATTCCCTTTTTAGTTAATCTGGAATTTGAACTTGATCGAAAAAATAATTAAATGACCTTGCTGGGGACACTCAAAGAAAGTAACTATAATTTCTCCTAAAAGGGAGATGGCATCCCACGCATCAGGGTCGGCAGCGCAGCAAAGTCCTGGGGAATGCCACTCGTAACCTTGGCCAAAGGCTGAAAGTGGCAATGCCAACACAGAGAGAAAAAGTTTAAATTTTTTTAAATATAAATAAAAGTTTGTAAAATATTAAAAGTATTTATTGAGCTTGTATCTCCATATCCATTCATTTCCTTTAGAATTTCTTTATTTTTAGGCCCTTATTTCTTTCAGTGACTGTGCGTGGGTTAAGCATAGATTTCGTGTTACTTTTGCCCCTTCTTCTCCTCCCCCTTTAAGCTTCTTCTTCTCTTCTTTCTTCCTCCTTTCATTTTTGCTGACTTGACTGCGTGGGACTTTCATTCATGAAAATTTTCGTCGATTCGCGTATGTATACGTGTCCTGTATATAACGGCACGTTGGACGGGCTTTTACCTAACTGTATATGGATTTGTATGTATAATGCTGGCTCAGCCACTTGTGCTGGCTTTGGTGCCGCCTCTGCCGACGCAGGCGCATTGGGCTGAACTTTTGTTGTTTGTTTTGTGGCCAGTGGAGAAATTTTTGCACGCGCCGCACATCCTTGAATTTGTCCTTCCATGCGATTTTAGCTTGTGTATGGCTGTGGCTGTGCCTGTGCCTGTATGGGTAAATATCAGGGTCATGGTTATAAAATTAAACATTTCGTCGAGTCTCCAAAATAACGGGAGCTCAAGGGAGAATTGATTGTCAGAGCCAGAGCTTTTGGAGCTGAGCCCGCTGAGCACTTCATTGATGATTCTTCGGCCTCCTCCCACCTTCTTCATTTCTTCTCATTATTCGTCGTCATGCCACATTTTTTTTTTGAAGTTGGCTCCAAAACTCCATTAACTTTTTGCACTACCAGTACCAGTGCTCCCACGAAAGAGAGTAATCAGCACAGGCAGTGTGGGGAGGTGGGTGGAGAGGAAGTGGAGAGCTGGTGTATCTAGCGAATTCAATGAATCAACGCTTTACTTGCCCCACGCACACACTGCCGCAAAAATATCAATGAACTTTACACAAAACTTTTGTTAGCGTGTGCTGCTGCTTGGGGCCCGAGAGCGGGAGAGCGGAAGAGCTCCAAAGTAAAGTGGCGAATGGAGAATGGAGAGAACAAGGTGCCATATCTTCAAATCTACGAAATAAAAAAGTACCTCAAAGTCACAGATAATCGGATTTAAAAAAAATCAAAATTATTTTATTTTTTAATTTAAAAACAATTTCATTAGAGCATAAACTAGATTATTTAAAGAAAGAAGTCTTAGGTTACTTTATGAATTTTTGCTCAGTGCACTGGGCTATCTCTCACCTTTTTGGAGAGTTGGAGAGAAACTCGAAATTCGAATTTCGAGAGAAGAACGAAATGAGAGAAACAGAGAGAAGAATTTCGAGAGAAACAAGCATGAAACACTCGAAGAAAATTCGTATAATCGGGCAATATTCGTTCCATATCTCTACCAGTTTACCACCGATTCTCAGTCGTAAAATTTTCGTCGAACGCGACGGAACGAACGCGCTTGCTTGTTGCCCAGGCAGGTTTTTTTCGTTGTTGTTTTTGCTGGCTTGTGAAGCGGTTGGCCACTCACGCACACCTCCACACAAATAAATACAAAATACAAAACACAAGGCGCACACCTACACGATACATACACACGGTTGTGATTTGGCGGGCACTTGTGTGCGTGTGTACAACAAAAAGTAAACGAAATTCGGAGTGCAAAGAAACATCAAATAAAATAGTCGAAAAATCGAAAAACCAAAACAAGTGCCAGTTATCCAAAGTCCTTAATTGAGGAAGAAGAAGAAGAGCAAGTGTTGAACGCTTTTTGATTTCAAAGATTTCAAGATTTTTCGTGTCCGTGCGTGTGCAGCAACAAACACCAACACCAATACCAACATACATACATACATATACCAAGAAGGCAACGAAAGAAGAAGCGAAGAAGCAGAGAGAAGTAGAAAAAATGTGCGGCAGTCCAAAGCAGATGATGTAAACTTTGTTGTAACCAAAAAAAAAAAAGAAAATAACAAGTCGAGAAGAAGCAGGAACCAGAAGAGGGAAGTGAATAGAAAGAAAAGTCGAAAAGTTTTGGAAAAGCCATCTCGAAAATGATGCCCGAAACGGAGCAGGAGAGCTGCAACAAGGAGTGGCTGCAATCGCAGCTGAGATCCCTGGACGCCAAGGAGCTAATCCTGTTGGATTGTCGCGGTTCGCAGGAGTACAGCGAGTCGCATATCCGCGGCGCCGTCAATCTCTGCATTCCGAGCATAGTCCTCCGACGACTGGCGGCCGGAAAAATCGATCTGGCCTCCACGATCAAGTCGCCGGAGCTGAAGGAGCGCATCCAGACGGGCTACAAGCTCTGCCTGTTCATCCTCTACAATGGCGAGGGCGTGGCCAGCCAAAGTCCGGACATGGCGGGTGCGGGAGCCTTTGCCGTGGCCATGGACTCCATCATCAATATCCTGCATCGTCGCCTCAAACAGGATGGATGTCGTGTGGTTGCCCTGCAAGGTGAGTCATCGAAAGGGGAATTCTTCAAGATACCCAGTATTGGGTATTGTAACGGCATCACATTCTCTAAATACCTGACACTGGCCATCACCGATCCACCATCACCAGGTGTCCATAAATCACCGCCGCACATTCCAATCCTAGGCCTAACAAAATCATAATTTATTTATACTTCCCCCAATGTTGTTTGCGGCATTTTTAGCCCGAAAACCCCCCAAGACCCCAACGCCCCCGAGAAGAAAACAAAACAAAGCCCAAAGAATATTATTAGAAAGCCAAGAAAGCACTGCCTGGCCATAAATAAACATTTGCGTGGATTTATTTATTTATTTTTTCTTTTTTTTGCGGAACAGAATGTCTCTCAGAAAGAAATGCAAAAAATGTCTAGCTATGAAGGATGTAATCCGTAGTGCTGATAAGTGCCTAGCGCCAGATTAGTTTTTATATAGAAGCCTATGATGAACTATATATTACCGGCGTCTGGGTTTTTAAAAATAGCATTAACCTCAATGAACTTGTTTCAATTTATTAGATTTATTCGAAGAAAAATAAATAATAAAATTATTAAAAATGTGAATGTATTTAAGTACTTATAGACCATAAACGATCCGATACTCATGCCTCTCCTTGATCGCGCCATATCGATTAAAAGGCCATTTAAATATAAATGTGTGGAATTTTACAAAACATCACATTTTTGGGGATTAAGGAAGTCGTAAATATACAAACAAGTCGAAGTGGAAGTCGGAGCAGGTTTCGAGGTCTTCTTCCAGCTATTATTCCCATAGATTTGTGTCACAATTGCTTTGGAATACATATATATACCCCCCTATATACATAATTATCTGACTGGACTGACTGGGGCTTCATTTTTATTTTTATCACTTCAATTTCCGTTCGCTTACAAGCCCCACAGTATTGGGGCTACACCTCCCGAAAAGCTCACCAGATCCCCTATTTTTGGGGCATAAAACCTCTTACCACTAAACCTCATCCATAACCACTCGATAAATTAAGCTGAATTTTCTTAAATCATAATATTTCACTATTTTATAGTATTATATATGATTTTCCGCTCGGTGTAGTTTAAACTTTGCCTTTGTTTACTGATTTCATTTGCTAAGAATAATAGAACTTGAATGCCGACACAAAATTAGCATAACATAAGGTGGCATTGGCTTTGGCTTCTCCAGCAACAACAGTGACGTCAAGCATATGGACGGAAAGATAGCCCGATGAGGGCATCCTGTGAGGACCTACCTGTGTTCAGGTAATTAGGAGAATTCGGTCCCCGACCAAAATTTTACGACCGGCAATACCCGGGAAACCGAGAGAACCTCTTGAGAGAGGGAGGGGAGGGGCAGCGTGAAAATCCAGTGTCACCTTTTAAAGGATTTTCATTGTTTTCTTTTTTCCGACCTGCTGACCTCCATTGTTCCAACACTTCTTAATGATCTCGAAATGGTAAATGAATTTCGTTTCCAGCTCATGAAAATATTTTGAATGGAATTTTGGAATTTTATGGACTATTTCCAAGGACTCTAATAAATGCTCAGTTTGGCGAAAATTTCAAAATTGTACCGATTATTGCATTTCCCAGAAACTTAAATATTTTGGATAATATTTTTGGGGGGAATGGTTGGGGCTTTTGGGTTATCTTATCATATCTTGGATATTGGATATGGTTAGATATTAGAACTGGAAAGTTGAAAGTAAAAACGGAAGTTGCAAAGAGGATATAAGTAATGGTATTCCTTCCGCTTGTCAACCTGTTACTTTAGCCAATAGAGTTCTACCATCTCCTAATGGGCACTTTGTCTAATCCCCACCAGAACCAACAACCGACAAGCCAGCCAAGCCGAGTAATCAGCTTAAGCTGCCCGAGCCAACTTGGCCAAGACCATTGTTTACCAATCCCTTTTTGTGGCAAAAAGTTTTTCCCCCTCCCCCTCCCCCCTCTCTTGGTCGCTAATTAACCTTGAAATTCAATCAAGTCCCGGGCAATTATGCGGTCTTTGTCAGTGGCACTACCAGAGGCTCCTTTCAGGATCTTGGACGACAAGTCCCAGCAGGGCGGCCTGGAATAAAATGCATAATGCATCAGATTCAGAGCTCAGAGCTCAGAGCTCAGAGCTCAGAGCTGGCGACCGTTGGATGTGAAATTCAGTTTTAATTAAATTCCACTTTGTATGCATTTCTCGGAATTAAAACAATTAAGATGGGGCCAATTGGGGCAGCAGCAACTATATAGGAAATGACACTAAATGGTATAACCCATATGGACAGTAAGGACTAAGGAATATATAATTATGATATTATGAAATAAATTAAATACGTGAACTTGGAAGCTACATACTTAAGAACCTATTGCCTTTATAAAATATTTTTAAAATTATTCCTCTTTTATGCTATATCTTTGTATATTATATATGTATGTAGATCATCCCACAACTGCAGTTACTTATTTTTGTACCATAAACTAAGCATTTCCGTTACCGTCAGAATTTAATTCAATTAGATTAGCCGAGTTTCAAACCCACACGGCTCTCGCCTGGAGAGAAGAGCACGCAAAAGATCTCTTGGAGAGATGCGCAAGATGATCGGGGAGTGTCGTGTCGTGTCTCGTCTGCTTTATTTTCTGTTTTCTGTTTTACTATATTTTCGTATTTTTATGGCCAGGCGGATACAAAGCTCCGCTCTGTTGGCAGCCGACCAGCCGACCCTTTTATAGAAATTGAACTCGAGCTGGTGATGCTGCTGCTGCGCATGCGCCATAAAAAACAACTTCAAGTCGAGCCGCCTGCATTTCCACTGACTTTTCCCAACTGGCTTTTCTCTCTCTCTCTCTCTCCCAATTCCGAATCGGAGAGTGGTTTACCTCATTTTGCTGTTTTTTCTTTAACGAGTTAGTTGTTGTTGTTGTTGGCGGTTTTTTGTTTTGGATTTAAGCCTCATACGGGTTGCTTTGATTTGGTTTTTGGGCCCCGGCGGTTTTTCAAATGGATTTTCCCCAACAGCAAAGTTTCTCCCCAACAATTCAATATTGTTTCTTGCTATCCATGCTCCACTGTCTTAAGACAAAGAATACCAACAAAAAAAAAACACGTGGCAAAATCCCAAGGCCAACGAAATGGACTGCCTCTCATTACGATTTCATGATAATTCATCACAACGACGGTGGGCTCCCAACAGAAGGCCCCCCTTCCATTTTCCCATGGTATGATCCTCCTCCTGCCCACCGCTCCCCTCTCTGCTTTTCCAACGAGCCAACTCAGCCAACTGGTCTGCCTTCACCGAAAAAACACCGTAAAGCATCTGAGAGGCTGAGACGGTTGGCCCTCCTACGTGCCAAAAAGCCGTTGGGCTAAATTTGTTTGCCAATACAGTAGGCCGCAACAGGTCATGGATAATACAAATTAATATTTTTAATATTTTGTGGAAAATGGTTAAGCAAAAAAGATAACCTTTGATAGATTAAAAATAAAATAATAAATTTTTAAATGAATATTTCATCTGTTCGTCCCACTGTACTTTGGGGGGAGTTCGTTCGTTGTCGTTGTTGTTTTTGTCGCATGCCCACATGCAAAGTGCATCGAAAGACAGGCGGACATCTTTCCAATTGGAGTTGGCGTCAGCATCTTGTATTTGCAAGTGCGAGCGAAAGGGAAGCCACGTGGAGTTTGGAGCCGAGCTAGAAGGGGCGACAATGAGCAAGCAAAGGATGGCAATACAAATTTGACGAACTGGACGTGAGTCGGTCGATCTCTTTTGATTGTTGTTGTTGTTGTCTTAACGGCTTCTAGTGGATATGGATACGGATTTGGGTCAGCGTTTGTGTGGGCAGTAATTGTAATTAAGCACTGAGAGCGGACAACTACATAACTAACGGTGAGGCCCACATGAAAGAATTGCTCTCGAATGTTGTGCAAATATTTGCAATAACAGTAGTACAGTAATCTCTCTTTGTTTTCAACTAAAAATCACATTAATAGTGCAATTCCCAAACAATCAATGGCAGCGACAGCGACAAAGCAACATTGTACATGCAACAACAAAGACTTCCGGTCGAACTTGTGCGGGCGTGTTCTCTGTTTCTCCTTCTCCCCCACTCCTGCATACCTCAACGTCCAGCGGAAGTTTCCAGGGCGCATATAACATAAACAGACAGAGAGAGAGAAGAAATACAAAATCAACGGCGCATTGCAAATGAAGGAATGCGATGGTGGTGGAGACTTGGATACTCCAAATGTGAAGGAGTAGGAGGAGGAGGAGGATGATGATAAAGAGAAGACTCGCGTTCGCTTCCCCTTCATTCACATTCGCCTTGGCGGGGGACGACGCGTAAATTGTTATATTCTTGGAATTAGCAAACAGAAGCGGCAGAAGTAACAACAACTCCAACAACTACCAATCGTTTGTCTGTCTCAAAAAAAAAAAAAAATAACAAAATAAGGAAGAAAAAGAAAAGCTAAACATGAAATGGAGCTAAAAGTTGTTGCCGATGCGCTTGCATGCATAAATCTAAAGTTATAGCAACAAAAAAAAAAGGGAAGAAAAAAGGCAAAAACAAACAAGGGGCACAAGAAGTAGAATAATAAGCAGCAGAAGCAACAGCATGAACATGAACGCATTTCATCAAAGGCTGGGGGGAGGCTGGGGCGGCTGGAGACTTTATGTGTGGTTCGTGTCTGTGCTTATGCACTGAACCAATAACTCTGATGGGGGGAGGAAGAAATAGCACTGCACTGGAAAATATTTTATTTAAACTGAAATAGTAACTTCATTTGGGAAAGAAACCCTATATCTCTCCTCTTTAGAGCCTATATATAGATGGGGCTTGGGGCATCTATAAACTCCTCTAGAAAGAAGCAAAAGAATGGATATCCTTTGTGCTTCTTTAGAAACGTACGAAATTCGACTGTTATTTTCTGAATTGGAATTTCTGTCTTCTCCAGTGAAGAGCTTTCGTTTTCATTTGCAGATGGGTTGCGCTGGCAGCC